TGTTGTTGATTATAGTTTATCTATGTTTCAGGTACCCTGACCTACCCTAGTTTTTACCTCTGACCCTAACAATGTTGTTGATTATAGTTTATCTATGTTTCAGGTACCCTGACCTTCCCTAGTTTTTACCTCTGACCCTAACACTGTTGTTGATTATAGTTTATCTATGTTTCAGGTACCCTGACCTACCCTAGTTTTTACCTCTGACCCTTAAACACTGTTGTTGATTATAGTTTATCTATGTTTTAGGTACCCTGATCACCTACCCTAGTTTTGACCTCTGACCCTAACAATGTTGTTGATTATAGTTTATCTATGTTTCAGGTACCCTGACCTACCCTAGTTTTTACCTCTGACCCTAACAATGTTGTTGATTATAGTTTATCTATGTTTCAGGTACCCTGACCTACCCTAGTTTTTACCTCTGACCCTAACAATGTTGTTGATTACAGTTTATCTATGTTTCAGGTACCCTGTCCTACCCTAGTTTTTACCTCTGACCCTAATAATATTTTCACACTCAAACACACACCATCCAGTATTGGGATATAGCTTCAGATGTAAACAATTTGATGGACAAACAAACAAGGCAGCTATATATATATATACGCTCTATACTTCATAGGCAGGTATATATTGAATTAGCCACCCACCAAAAACAAGAAAAATATTAATCCCCATCTACCAACATTATTTTTTCAGTCAATGTTTCCTGTAACAATATTACAGATTTTGTTTGGCCTCATCTTGATAATTTCTCATAAAAGTCTTGCAAGGTATGGTTTTTCTTTTCAGAAATGATTTGTTAAAGCTTTATTTATGCTGGTAAAATACATTTTTGAATACTTAAGTTACAGTTAAAGGCAGTGGTACTGGGGCCCTTAAACAGATGAAAGAGTCTCGTGAGTTAGTTCAAAGAAATTAAAAATGTTGAAACTAAATGGAAGTCAGGATTCCGCTGGCATAAATACTATTGAAGTGACGACTGTTATAAATGTTGAAATTATTTTACTTTATTAATTCTATTGCTGACAGTGTCTGATATATAGTGTTATGTAATATGGAAGATTGAAATAAATTAATTGTTTTTGCTGTAATGATTTTCTTTTTCATGTCGTTACAGATTTATAACCTAAATAAAGCATTTGTTTTTCATCACAATTAAATTCAATAAGCTGTTTGTTTACCTGAGATTATTGAGATAATAGACATATGATGCCTGGCTATCTATCTGCATGGAGACATTTTAACATCTGTTACCTGTGTGTACCTTAGACAGGTTGAGATGGTAGACAGTCTACCCATTGGTTTGAATTTTTTTTAACAAATGAAGATGAAATTTCCCTATGTTTTGAGATATATTTTTTTCTAACCTAGGACAACCCTCTTGAATTTTCACTTCTTTTAATTATTATTTGGCTTTGATAGAAGTATTGTGATATATTTACTTTTATATGTTGATAGCTATATCTGGACCCTATCTCCTCCCTAAAATTCTTTAAAATATCAATTAATCTCCAATTTTGGTTCCAACAAAGTAATTAGAGACTTCAGAACAACACAACAGAGATAAAACTATGTTATATGCGGCATAATTTATGTTTTAAATGTCTCACAAATGTCTCACTAATTCAGAGAAAATAAATCAGTATTTTTGACTAAATCTCACTAAAAAATATCACTGATCTCAAACTATACATATCTTACCTGTGTGTACCTGAGACAGACTTAGTGGNTTAACGGACTACCTGTGTTTACCCTAGAGTTGTGGTGGTAGACTAAGATGTTTGTTACCTGTGTGTACCTGAGACAGACTTAGTGGTTGACATGCTACCTGTGTTTACCCTAGAGTTGTGGTGCACTTGGTAGACTATGATGTATGTTACCTGTGTGTAGCTCAGACAGACTTAGTGGTTGACGGACTACCTGTGTTTACCCTAGAGTTGTGGTGGTAGACTATGATGTATGTTACCTGTGTGTACCTGAGACAGACTTAGTGGTTGACATGCTACCTGTGTTTACCCTAGAGTTGTGGTGGTAGACTATGATGTATGTTACCTGTGTGTACCTAATACAGACTTAGTGGTTGACATGCTACCTGTGTTTACCCTAGAGTTGTGGTGGTAGACTATGATGTATGTTACCTGTGTGTACCTGAGACAGACTTAGTGGTTGACATGCTACCTGTGTTTACCCTAGAGTTGTGGTGGTAGACTATGATGTATGTTACCTGTGTGTACCTAATACAGACTTAGTGGTTGACATGCTACCTGTGTTTACCCTAGAGTTGTGGTGGTAGACTATGATGTATGTTACCTGTGTGTACCT